TCTTGATTGTAAGTTCGAGTAACAGTTTATAGTAACATAAAAGTTTGAGTAAAAAATGGGCGTTTCCTATTTCAAAAAAAGCGTTTCCCACCTAAAAAGGATGTGGCCCTGTTCGTTGCCCCGGGGTCCTGGCCGCCTGACGACTGCCCTGTATAGATATATATGTCTATATGTATGTATATGTATGTGTGTGTTTGTGGGTATACATACATTTATATATATATATATATATATATATATATATATATATATGAGTATGTGTGTATGTTTACATATATACATATATACATATATATATACATACACACACACACACACACACACACACACACACACACACACACACACACACACACACACACACACACACACACACACACACACACACATATATAATATATATATATATATATATATATATACATATACATATATATATATATATATATACATATACATATATATATATATATATATATATAATATATATATATATATATATACATATACATATATATATACACATATATATACATATATATACATATATATAATACATATATGCATATATATGTATATATGTATGTGTGTGTGCTTATATATGTATATATATTATATATCATATACACATATGTATATATACGTGAATATACACACGTATATATATATATATATATATATATATATATATATATATATATATATATATATATACATATACATATATATACATATGTATATGTATGGATACACATCTATATCTATATATACACACATGCATACATATTAATGTTTATGTATTCATATATATATGTGTACATATATATACATGTATATGTTTACATATATGTTTTCATATATAAATACATATATATATCATCATGAACATCATCAGGAGCTAACGCCGACGGGGGCGCATAGCCGCGTCCACCTTTTGGGATCCCTCATGGCAAGCCGCCAGGCAGGGACTCGGCCCATCTCGAGCTCTTCCCGACAGGTTTGATCGATCTGCCCGAGCCACGACCTCCTAGGTCGTCCCACAGGCCTCCTCCACCCAGGGTTGTCTCTTACAGAAACAACCTGATGAGCAGGATCAGCCTGTGGAAAGCGAGCCAGGTGGCCATATAACCTGAGTTGGCGATCCCGGATTGTGCAAGTAACAGGTCCTGTGCCAGTCTCACGGTGCACCGTTGGTTAGACACATGATCCCGCCAACAGTACCCCATGATCCGGCGCAAAGACCTATTACAAAAGGCATCAAGACGAGACTCCAGGGCACTGGATAATGTCCAGGTTTCACTACCGTAGAGCAAAACTGATTATCAGGGCCATGAAAACCCGTAGCTTGGTCCTTCTGTACAGGTACCGGCACCTCCAAATACTCTTGTCGAGAGAGTTCATGACCCCTGCTGCCAGACCAATCCGTCTGCTGACTTCCTGGTCTGACAGCCCAGCGTTATGAACTGCACTACCAAGGTATGTAAAGCTCTCTGTGACTTCAATGCCCTCGCCGCAAGCACGTACTGACCGAACAGGTTCTCCTAGCAAGTCCCCAAAGGCCTGGATCTTGGTCTTGGTCCAGGAGACCTCTAGACCCAAGGGCTTCGCTTCATTACTAAATGCGAGAGCCACCACTAGGGTTTCCAAGGACTCAGATAGAATAGCACCATCATTGGCAAAGTTAAGGTCTGTAACCTTAATATTACCCAGTGTTGCTCCACAGTGACTTTGAGCAGTAGCTCTGCCTTGTATCCAGTCCATGCAAGTGTTGAAAAGTGATGGTGCAAGAACACAGCCTTGTCTCACTCCTGAACTGACAGGAAAGAAGCTCGACAGGATCCCACCACACTTTACAGCACTTTCAGTATCAGTATACAGGTTTGCTATTAGTTCAATAATCCTTGTTGGAATTCCTCTCAGTCTCAGGATCTCCCAGAGTGATTCCCGATGCACTGTATCGAACGCCTTCTTGAGGTCATGTAGGCTGCAAGCAACCCACGTCCGAACTCACGACGGTGCTCTACAATGACTCGGAGCGCAAGGATACGGTCTATAGTGGACTTGCCAGAAGTGAATCCAGATTGCTCTGGCCTCTGATGCCTTAGTAGAGGGTCTCTAATACGCCTCAGAAGGATGCGGACAAGAACCTTGCCTGGTACACTGAGGAGTGTGATGCCGCGATGATTGCTGCAGTCCCATCGGTCCCCCTTCCCCTTACAGAGAGGGATGACCACATCCCTCAACAGGTCAGGGGGAACGGTACCGGACTGCCAGATGGCAGCCAGGACAGCATGTAATCCCCGCGCCATAGGTTCACCACCAGCCTTTAACAGTTCAGCTGGGATGCCGCAAATACCCGCTGCTTTACCACACTTCAACTTGGAGATCGCCTCCCTATCCTCAGTTAGGGAGGGTGGGTCCTCGCTAATGGGTAGGTCCGGCAGCGGAATCACGGCACTACCCACATCCAACTGTTGGAGGGTCAACCTGATACAACTGCTCAAAGTACTCAGCCTAACGCTCCCTCACCGCAACAGGATCTGAGTCGATCTGGCCACCTACTAAACGAACTGCAGTCACATGTGAAGAGGGCTTGGAATTCAGTTTTCTCAGGGCTTGGTATGCAGGACGAAGGTCATTTACTAAGAAATGGCCTTCGACCTCCTGAGCAAGACTCCTAATAAACTGTTCCTTATCCCTTCTTAACAGAGACCGAGTTCTGCGCACCATAGAACGGTGCAAATCCCGATCCCCTGCCAGACGAGCCGCACGGCAAGCATCTGTGGCTTCCAGTGTCTCCTGAGAGATTGAATTCTGTCTTGCTCTCGGGCGTTCTCCAATCGATTCTTTGGCTGCATCAAACGTTTCGCGCTTGAAGGTGTCCCACAGAAGAAAAGGGTCTGTCAGATTGTCAAGCGCTGTGAACCGATCAGAGATTGTCTCAGCAAACCTCCAAGCACACTCCCTCTCCTTCAGCCTGTCCAGATGAAACACCCTAGGGTGCTCATAGGGCCGCTGGGGAGTTTTGAAGTGAACCCGGAGGGTAGCTACAACCAATCTATGGTCAGTACCACAGAACTCGGCACTCCTATACACCCTGCAGTTCTGGAGGATCCTCCAACGAGTGCTAACGAGAATATATATATATATATATATATATATATATATATATATATATATTGATAAGTATTCATATATACACATACGTACACACACACACAGACGTATGTACATATGTATATATACATATGTATAGATACACATATATATATAAATATATATATATATACATATAAGTTATATCTATATATATGTATACATACAAACATATATATGTATATGTATATATATACATATACATATGTATATGTTTATATGCATATATGTATATGCATATATACATAAACACACACACATATATACTACATATATATGCATATAAATATATTACATATATTTGTATGTAAATATACTACATTTATATTAATTATATATATATATATATATATATATTATATATATATATATATATATATATATATATATATATAGACATACATATTTATATGTGTGTGTGGCTGTGTGTGTGTGAATAATTATAAAAAAGGTCTGCTGAATCCTGTCTGTCTTGAGTGTGGTGATGGTGGCGCATTGGCCTGGCTTGTAGCTCAGCCACGCCGAGGGTCTTGGAAGGCCTCGCGGCAGTCTCGACGCGAGGAGCACTTGTTCTCCGAGGAACACCAGCCGCAGTAAGGATCACGGGCCCCCAGGCATTGGTTCCGTCCCTCGTATATGCTGCACTCTCTTGTTTTGACTTTTGAGATCTGTGAAAAAAAAAAAAAAAAAAAATTCTGATACATATATATATGTGTATATACACATAGATACACATTGTTGAGATTTGTGCATAGAAATGATTTCACAAAATGTTACATCTAATAAAGGGTATGTTCTATGAAAGCAAGAAAAATATATTCAAACCTTTTCTGCATTCATACCTCCACATAACTGCACGACTGGCAAGTGGCCAACTTACCTTGTTACTAGTCATGACGTACAGGTGGTCGCCCGCCTTGTCAAAGTGCATGTCTTGCCTGACTGCTGATCCCTGGTCCACCTCGATGTCATCATATTCCAGCGCATTAGTCTGGTTCTCTATCACAACCTGGAAGGCGACGGACCATAAGATCAGAATAATCATTAAAAGTCAGTAACATCTTGTCATATAAAGTACATAAAATGAAACCGTGTTATTTACATGTATGAGGCCAGTGGAGGAAAGGTGGCAATATGCTTGAGACATTCAATCTCAAGGAAGTCTCGCAATAGCTACCTATTCCAATAATACCCCAAATCAACCCAGAGAACGTCAGCAACAAAAGCAATGGTATTCGCCTCGCTCAAACCTTCTTCAGGTGGCCCTGAGCCGTGCCGAGGAAGACCACCGTGTACGCATCGGTTGACGTGGCGGCGACGGCGGTGAGTCGCGTCGGGAAGGTGAGGCTGGCCAGACTCTCCACAGGCTGCTTTCCGCCCAGGGGTGTGTTCACAGCCGTGCCGCAGAAATCCTCGTTCACATCAATGTTCTGTTATAAAAGAAAGAAAGAAAAAAAGTGATTAACATACAACATTCTCTATGTAAATAATCCATACTAAAGCCTGCTATGGGGGTTCTCTCCCTGGTGTTCGCTCGCTCTCGGCCTCCTCCCGACCGTCGCACTTTGTCATTCTGGAACCTTATAAGACTCCAAGTGATACTCAGGGATAATCTGCCCCTTCCAGCTCGCCTTTCTCATCCAGTAGAACCCGAAATGAGAAGTAAATAATAAGTTGATGAAAAATACTTATTCTGAGATCATATATATATATATATATATATATATATATATATATATATATATATATATATATAATGAAAGATAAATCTAGACCACTAGCAATCCCATCGCCGAGCAAAGATGCTATCCCTCTTTCTCAAGGCAGAGATTGGAGGAAACCTATTTGCTCACAAGACCTGCCTGCCATCAGCCCAGGTAAATATTTCTCCCAGACGAATTGTAGCCGTGTCATGCTCTAGGATCCTCCTCACCCCTCCCTCTTTGACCACGATTCAAACTGTGCTTAAAAATGTAAAAAGAAACTGACCCTTCACTCGCCATTTTTTTAAACTCTAACCTTTAAGAAAAAGAGACAAGCATACAAAAAGAAAACATTTAAGACCAAATATAATGAACAATTACATAATACACAACATATTCTACCAAAAATGTATCGATTTGACACTGCTTGTTCTTCCGTAAATACAGAAACAAGATGCAAAATATGCATGCATTGCTTGCTTTTCTGAGTTTTTCTTGAAAGTAATACGTGATCAAAGCATGACATTATTTTTGAACCTCTTCTTCGCCCTCTCCTTTCTCAATGTTCCTATTTTGTCTTTGCAATTTCACGGGCAAGTAACTACATGCTGCCACACACATATCTACTGCAAAGACCTGCTTAATAGGAAACTGAGTTTGGCTTCATGTTTGCCTTGAATGGCAAAAAGGCTGCTTTCCCTTTATTGTAGGCGAATGGGGAGGCAGGAGTATAAGGTGCGTGTAAACGCATTTAATTCGCGACTGAAGAGCATTTTAATGACAGAAGAGATCAAACACAAGCTTACTCGGAGATTGCAACATGACTAAGTATACCGGAAACCTCGTCGAAGTTACTGTTACATCTAGTAGTAAGACACGTTTTCTTTCACAGGCAATGAACATCAAATGCCACGCATCTCTTATGAACACTGCTTGCGTGTGTGGGAAGGGCTGTGCAAGAAGAATGCTTTTCAAATGTTGGACAATCCCTAACACTGCCACTGACTATCACATTAAACCTGCTTGTCTTCGGAGAGACATACTCAAGGTAGTTCAAGTGGAACTTAGACATTGGAACTTACCATCTCGATACAGTGTTGCGACGGCGAGATGAAGTTGAGTCCTCGTTCGCCTTTGCCTCTGTAGCATTCTTGAATGTTGTCAATGAACCTGCGTCTGATGGATTTCATGCTGTATACACAGAGAGCATTGCTGTTGGCAGGCCTAGGAGAGTCCTCCCTTCCACATGAGAACACAGCGAAGAGGACATCGTCGTTGGGCTGGATGCCCATCTGAGTGGCCAGGTCAGTGCCCGGCTTGCCCAGGAAGGCTGCCTGTGCCAGGTTATAGTGCTTGCCCTGCGAGTCCTTGCATTCAATGGGGATCTCTGTGTATGAGTAGTAGTCCTGGTCATTCTGGCAGACTCGCACCAGCTTGCTGATGTACGGAGACTTAGGGTTGGTGTCCTCCATCTGCCGCGTGAGGAAGTAGCTGAACTTCTCCGAGCTAAAGCCATACACGTATGTGATAAGGTATTGTTTTCGCACCAGCGAATTGACCCACATCCGCGTGCTTGTCCTCGGGTAGTGAATGGCAACGTCTAAGAAGCGCTCGTCCTCTAGTGAGCGCGAGGCGACGGCCGGCACCTCGTCCCTGTGCACGGAATTGCCTGTGTACGTCACGCCGACGTAGAGCACGTGTGGACGGAATGGATTGGGCACTCCACGGGCGATGAAGGCCACGGTGGAGGCTGTGGCGCTGTTGGCCACGATGGCCTCACTCACGTTGCGGGTCAGCTGCGTGATGTCCTGCAGCTTACAAACCTGGCACGAGCCTTGTCGCACAGTGCCACACACAATGAGGCGTGAGCGATAGTAGTCGATCACTAGCACTTTGTTGACGTTGTTGGTGGTCTTCATGTTCAGGATTGTGTCGCCAAAGCAGACGCTGGCTGAGCACTGCACGGAGTCCTTTACAGGGCCTGTGACCACGTACTGCAAGCGCCGCAAGTTCGGGTCCAGCTTGTAGAGCCGGTTCACGCCCCCTGCGTACACCATGCCTGTTTTCTTGTCGACCGTGAGGTGCGTGAACTCCTGCCATTGGTCATCCTCGAAGCGGCCCACAATGAAGCGCAAGTTTGGCCCCTTGGTGATGGCCGTCTGCACCTGGCGGAGGTAGCGAAAAGTTTACAAGTGTGAATAGTAACCAGATCTTAAGGTTCTGGGTAGGTAAAATTGGGCTGCATGTTGTTATTTTTATTATAAATATTATTAAGCGATTTATTCAAGAAAGTAACATCAAAACCAAATAAATAAAAAAAACTTCTTTATACATAACTCCTGTTTCTTGTTTTCAGAGAAAGAGTTATGTTATCATATCTGTGTTGACTAAATACTTGTACATCTATAAACCAATATTTAAGATTTAAATTTTAAATGCATAAATGAAACAAAGACACAAAAAGCCTTGAAATTGGTGCCATCAACAGTGATAATCATTCCTCCAGATGGAATACCTCTCGGACCATTTCTCTTCATAAAACAAATTCCTGGTAAAGTTCAAAAAAAAGAAAAAAAATATTGCACATTTCAGTCAAATGAACTATCAAATATTTAAAAGCCAGAAGAAAAGCTGTACATCTTTCAAAGAAAACTAATGATTGAGAAAAGAATGACTTACTACACCAGCCTCTGCCACTCCACCAGACCAGACAAACATCTCTGAGTCGTCAACGTAAGTGAAGTACTTCCCCTCCAACTTTCTTCGGCCATTGTCGAAGGTCATTTCGATACTATCTTCCTTTGGCAAGTCCGAATACGAAGATGTGATGCATGTTGCTGTGCTTGCATTTGTGCTGCAGATAACATTCCAATTAGGCTTTAAAAAAAAATGCCCCACTGAAGCAATGGTGTGTGATTCATCAATACTTAGGTTGTAACTGTCCGGATATACAGTTAGTGCTTACCTTTGAATTGTGCATGGAAGTCCGTTGATGAAGGCATTAATGCGGCTGCCAGCATTCATATACTTGCCAATAATGTGGAGCACTGTTCCCCCCGACCTTGGTCCTGAATCTGGTGAAATGGCTGTTATCTCTGGATTCACAAATCTAAACTTGGCTTCGGATTCACTTCGGTATTCGCGAGACACCTGTAACATGCCATTTGTGTCTCAATCTTTCAGCTACACCTTATACACTGCTACTTGCAATAATGACATCATTACAAACCTTTACAACAATGGGTCCTTCCTTAAAGGAATTCACTCCTGGGCTGTCTACCAGGCAAGTAACCTTTCTGGTTGGGACATATGAATCACGAATCGGCTGGCAGGGAATGCCAGCAACATATATTCCATCATAGATGTCATCAATCTGCTTGCCCAAATTAATACCTGAAGAGAAAGAGGGAACACTTTAATCAATCTATAAATATGCTATCTTCTGCCACATTATGAATCCAATTTAAAAAATTATCTAGCTTTTTTTTAGGAAAAGGTCACCACTCACCATTCTTAGTATCCAAAATCTAAACCACATACTATACCTTCTATGGTAACATTCGTGCCTCCGTCCCAGGGGCCACTTCGCGGATAAAAGTTGGTAATCATTATATTGGGACAAGTGCGATCCCTGTCCAGCCACGCTCCTTCCTCACACTGGGCTGCCACCTCACACCGACTACTTGACTGACACCAGCCACATCTAAAGCGCTCCGCAAGATTCAAGCACATGCCACAGTTGTTGGCCATGTGCTGACATTTATATACCAGCACTGGTTGGAGGAATTAAAGGGAAGAAAAAGTGAACAGGTTTAACAGACAATTAAGATAACTGAGACACATGGTGAGCCAATGAACAATTTTAAAAACTCAAATGTAAACTCATATATTTACCATTATGGAAGGGATATATGCATGTATCAATTAAGCCAGATACAAAATATCAAACTCACCATGAATGTTACCAGGATTATCAAGGGGTTTTGAGCCTCCCCAGATCACAGCAAATGTTGCATTAATTGACGGCGCAGCTGTTGTGTATGAAAATTCCATTCTGTCACAGTAAATAGTATCACTCAGCAAGTTGGCACTTACACTGGTAACTCTTCCCTCAATGTTGAATTGACACACATACCTTGTCTGCACGATGAATTGCTGCAAAGATAAGAAATCTAATATTTAAAAAATAGGGCAACCTAATTATGCAATATGAAATGGAGACATACTGAAGATTCATTTCTATTTTCCTTTGTAAATCAACAGAAATCTTTTACTTACAGCTATGTTGTCAACTTTGACCTTGATTGATTTTTGAGAGCCTGATGAAACCAAAATTTCTTGACTCTCAAGAAAGGTAATTCGAGGACAAAATGAAGGGCCACTTCTGATGCTTGGTCCAATACGCTGAAAAAGTTGCCGTTTGTAATATCTATCCACAAAAAGGCCTTCCATATTCCTCTATTTCTCATTATCAAATCACAGCATTTAAACATTTACACATCATACAAACTTACATTTACACCATTGACTAGAACGTCATTTCTGCAATTTTCTGCAGAGTCGTGTGTGCATCGATGGCCATCAACACACCAGTCACAAGGAAAAGGGGACGATACACATTCAGTGCAGGAGCTGTAGGTAGTGCAGTCAAAAAACGTAAAGTTTGTACACACTAACTTTACACCGTCTAATCTTCGCACACAAAGCTTTGCTGTAAAGTGATCTGAAATGGAGAAAAAATATTGAGATAATATATGCTACAACAGTCTTCATATATGCTGCTTTTCTATAAAGTCACATTTACAAGGAAAACACACACTTTTATTCTGTGGGATATCAGGAAGCAAGGCAGTCCGGGGAGTGGCACAAGAAACACCCTCAGCAGTACGCCTGGTCTCTGTGCTGAGGTCTTTCCCCATACTGCTAAAAACACACTGTAGCGGTCCATCCACTGGTGGCATGTTCTCAATCATCAGTGCTAACTGATAGACGAAAAATTGCACATTGCATGATCAAACAACGCTACTTGCTTGAAGATAAGTTACCATAAAGAAACAAACAAAAGATTTTTAAAACCTGACCTATTCCCTGGGTAATTGCACTGTGCACTATAGTTTTCTTTTATGTTTTTTACTCGTATA